ACATTTGATGTGTAAAAGAGTACCTTCTTCTCCCGAATAGAACGCCGGGTGTGCTTTCAGTGGAGTCGAACTCAGGTCTGTGTTTCAACACGCAGGCCAAGGATGTATCAACTGAGTTAGTCCACTTGGTAACCCCCTTCTTTTTCTGTTCATTTTTTTTTTTTTTTAAGCAAATTAGTTTTTTTTTTCTCGACTGCATTTGATTGAGAATGCGCTCACATTCATTGAAGAAACTCCTGACGTGTGCTCCAGTTCGTTATCGTACAATAATTCAATTCGTTACGAAAATGATTTTGTCGGATGATCGCAGGCAACAGGTGCTTCAACATACATAAACATGAATAGAAATACACAAATATACGCACACATATATATAGTCAAACAAAGATGTCCGGTAAACTGTATGCAGAGAGGGAGAAGAGGGCAACAAACGAGGGGCTTTATTCGAAGTTTCACCGACTCATCAGGGGGTTGAACCCTCATATTTAAGGGAAATGAAGTGTGAAAATAATACCAACCGACGAGCGTACACATTCAACACAATAGGCGTGTAGCGCATGTATAATCACATCATAATCGTATATGACAATGTGGGACGTACATAGACATTAAACACAATAGGCATGTAACGCACGTATAATCATATCATAATCGTATATGACACAATCTTGGACATATGTAGACATTATAGACACATGCATGTAGCCAGTGTCTAGCCACAACTACGATCTAGGACCAGGTATAGTCACACACATAATTTCTACGACCAGGTATAGTCACACAGATACGATCTACGACCAGGTATGGTTAATCACACATACGATCTATGTGGCTGCAACATGCCAAAGGTCATGTGGCGGAACTCTGTTCGTCTAACGGCGGGGGTGAGGGAGAAAAAACTTTTCTCTTTCCACGTTTTTAATTCGTACCAGATGAAGTCGAAGTCCCCACTTGTAACGTGGAAAGGTTTAAGATTAATTTTTTTCATATTTTAATTTTATTTTTTGTGTGAGGAAGGCCCCAATGATTCGATTTGGCCAAAGGTGTCGATGGCAGTGATGGGAGCATGAATGAGGCAGGGATTTATTTCTCATAGAGGATGCAGTGTGTTTACGTAGAGATGAGCTGAAGACGGCGAACATGGCCTTGTGAGTGAATCTAACGATAAAATAATGATGACTAAGGTAAAGCCCGTGTTATGTAGACATGGAGTGCTACTTAGGTATGATGATGACTAAGGTAGAATCCGTGTTGTGTACAGATAGAGTGCTACTTAGGTATGATGATGACTAAGGTAGAGTCTATGCTATGTAGTGATAGTGCTCCTAAGGTACGACGATGATATGATGATGGCCAAGGTTGAGTTCGTGCTATGTGGAAGGGACTACATCGATGATATAATGATGGCTAAGGTAGTGTCCGTGTTATTTAGAGATAGATATTAAGGTATGAGCGATGATACAAGGATGACTAAGGTAGAGTCCGTGCTATGTAGAGATGCGTAAAGTGCTTCTAGTGTATGTATACTCAGCAACAGTGGCGAACCTAACAATTAGAACGGCGTACGAGAGGTAATTCAACGGCGAAACTTGCGATACGAGGATGATTTTATTTTTTTATTTTTTTATTTTATTTTTTTTATTTATTTATTTATTTATTTATTT